ATCATAGTAGTAAATTTTCCAAAGTCACAAAGCCAGTTAGAGGAAGAGCCGGAGCAACAGTGTACACTGTAAGACTCTCAGTTTCATGCTCCTTCAAGTATAACCTATTTGTAGAAGTAGAAAACATTTTCCCATCTCCAAAACAAATTTGCTTATAAAGTAAAATGTTTATGGATGAGATGTTCTTAATGTGGCAGACACTTGCATTTTAAAATGAGTTTCCCTGAATGCTGCAAATCAGGAAGAATGATAATTTACTAGTATACATGTGTTAACTGATTTTTATTCTATCTAGTATCATTTTCATTTTTTTTTTCAGACACAATTGCCTTCCAAAATCATAAAATTCTGTGGTTAAATATCTCCATTTTTTTTTCTATTTGGAATTTTCAATCATACTACTAATATTTTTCTTGTAAACATTTAAGAAGGCAGAAACCTACCATGATACTTTAAAGGAAGATCTCATTATTAAAAAGTCCATGTATGTGTGTTTAACAAAGTGTTTAGTTGTTACTGTAAACTCCTTGAGGGTCAGAACCATGTCATCACCATTGTATCTCAGCACCCAACAGAATGCTTGGCATAGAGTCAACATCATTTGTTGAATGAATGAATGAAACAGCTTTATGTGGTAGGTAAACAGAAATGTGGTGGGACAGTTATTCATGTCTCAGTTTTATTGATATAGAAACTGAGGCTTAGAGATGTGAAGAGATTTGTCCAGGTTTTAAAGCCACGGTAATATGTGTTGAAGTTCATGCCAGAATCCTGGTATGTCCATTAATGTTTCACATCACAGATTCTCATTCTAATGAAAGGAACATGCATCAATATTCCCTAATAATTATCCCAGTATAGTTTAAGATTTCTCCTTGTCAAATATTAATTTGCACTTAGATCCCTGAATTATTATGTTTTGTCATATGAAACTATGTCTTCTAAGAATAGAAGAGAACTTTGTGTATGATTCTGTACAGTTCTGATAAGCAAATTTATTGTTTAATTCGAATAATTAGTAATGGTGGAAACAAGAATCTTGAAGACCATAGATAAGGAAAAGCTGGTAGAGTTGCACATAAACAAGCTACTTGGGCATTTGACACCTAAGCCATTTTTATGTGGTATAAAAAAGCTTTCAAAGGGCAAAGTTGATACCCTTTGATATCCAAATGATAGACGCAGTTACCTATGGCATATATAGGAATCAGGATAATGTGGAATATTGACACCTCCTTCACCATTTACCCCACATATAATATTAATAATTATTAGATTACATTTTAATTACATTAAACTAGCCAATATAATCAACAAAAAGTAATCTAAAATATAAGTGAAGAGCGCAAAATATAAATTTTATAATCCTCAACAACAAGATGTTGAGTGCAAGGTATACACTGTATATCAGGCACTAGGAATATAAACATGAAAACACACGCTCCTGGTCAGCTAGTTGCTCACAGCCTGATGGAGGTGGAAGCTTTTCAACCGCTTGCCCTGCCCAGCCAAGGATCTCCTCCTGCAAGAGCGGACTCTTCCTTCAAGTACAATTGTTCAAATATATTTCCTTCAAGTACAATTGTTATAAATACCTTTTTTTGAAAAACATTTGCGTAGTACTTTATTATTTTGAAATCCATCTATCTCCTTTCATCTTCACAACAGTCATGTTCAATCTGTATGGAAAATCTTATAATCTATTTTTTTTAATAGATGAACTGACACAACCCGGGCTACTTTAGAACGCTCGTCCCCTGACTCCTGGTCTTGCATGCATACTTCCTAGGACAACAAAAGCAGTGAGTGGAAAGAGACTGGTTTGTCTTCAGTTACACAGACCTGGATATGTCTCCTGACTGGAAATGTTACTTAGCCCCTTTGTCTTTGTGTCTTCATCAGGAAAATGGGGCAAAGACTTACTTTGTAGATTTATCGTAAGGATTAGAAATAATACGGATAAAGGGACTAGCACCAAGTGGTTACTCAAAAAACAATAGTTATTATCCTGATATTGTCTTCTAAAAATGGCAAATTTTCAAAATATGTCTTTCTGCTTTTTAATTTTTATGAAAAAAATTTTATCCTTGTTCTTTTAAGGAATAAAATTAGTCCTTGGAATCTAGAATTATAGCAGAGTGATAGGAAATATAATAAAGAAGGTAATACTGATTGGGTGAAAGGAAATATTGTTAAAAAGAGTTATAAGTGGCAATCATTCTGACATTTAACGTTACATTATCATTAATACATACAACTCTAAAGGATACCATAATGAGAAGAGAACAAAGGGAAGATATCTCAGTTATACTTAAAATGTAATTATTTTCAAGCTCTAATTAAATCAACAAAAGTAAATTTTTAGATGAATTTTAATATAATTTTATATGATATATATTTTGTTTTATAGTTCACAAGGTATCTCTATTAATTTCATTTAAAAAAATCACTGTGTTGTTAGAGTCATGGCCTTCACAGGGTTTTTCAATATTGGCAGTATAGCATCGTCAGGCTGTGTCATGGAAGAAGAGGCACCATAGGCGTTATGGGAATTAAGGACCTTGTTATAGGAACTAGACTTTATATAAGCATGGGAGCAGCTGGAGACGATTGGGCAGTGGAGGAGGTAGAGGAAGAGAAAATGTCACTTTCCAATCCTCTTGGAGCCCTGGAGTGAATGGACAAGTCAAGAGTTTGCAAGGAAATGCAACCACCAAAGTGGGACCACCGGGAAGCCACGGGGAGGTCCATGGAAAGCCATCACTTGGTGGGTCAGTAGTCAAATTAGCAGGAGGAGCCCAAGTGATATTTTGAAAGTGCATTTTTCACGTGTTTAAACTCTTCTGTGTTATAGAATTTTAGAAAGAAAGGGGACGCTCGTTAGAAATTGGGGAATTTACCCATTGTCAGTAGATGGAGAAAGTCAGACTCAGAGGTAACTAACTTGCCCAGGGGAGAGGAGATGAAGGGGAGATATAACATGGATGGAGAGGAGGAGGGGGCAGGAGGAGGCATGGCAGAGGAGTTGTTCCTGGACGGAGAGGGTGCTTTGTTCTGAGGCTTGAGTACTGAGGCACTGATAAGGGAGAGCGGCAACAGCCAGTACAAGCCAACCAAGGCACCAGCAGTTACTGGCAGGTGATGCTAACCGTTGCTCCAGAGAGGTGCTGAGAATTATTTGGAGAAAGGAGAAGGAGGGCTCAGCTAAAAATAGCTCTAATCTTCAGACACATGGGAGTTGGCCTGTGTAGAGAGGTGCCCAGGGCTGGGAGGGAACTTGTGGCTCACCTTTTGTATCCACATGGACCCCAGATTTACTGAGGGGAGAGGAAGCCCTTAGGAGGCTGAGCAAACGCTACTGAAGTCAAGACTGGGATTAGAAGTCTGACTCCAAAGCTGTGTTCCTCCAATGACAGCATTGAACCTAAGCAAAACTTGTCTGGTGGGTAGAGGTCACAGTGGATGAAACATTGGCAAGGAGATTAAACTAGATGATGTTTGAAGATTAGCCTCAAGATTCCGTGATACTCAGTCTTCATTCTCTAATTCAGGGAACACTGACGTGGGAGCTGCCAGGTCACCAGGTCAGTGCTGCATTCGGCATCCCTGGCACTTTTAAGTTCTTTCATCTTTTTCAATAACAGCAAAATATTGTTGAGTCCTACTCTATGCTTAAGCCTGCCTGAAGCTGCACGACTACTTAGTGATGGAGTTGGGGTAATATTTTGGGACTGCTTACTTTAAGTTCTGTTCCTTGGAGACAAACTCAATTAATCTAATTTTATTAAACAGATGTTCAAATCATTTACAGTATTTGAATAAGAGGTTAAAATTATAGCCCTGAGATCTCCAAACCTAATTTGCTGAACATATCTGCTTCTTTATTGCCCATGATTCATTGTGCAAAAATCAGTTTAAAACCCTGAAAAATAACAGGGAGAAGGCAAATGTCCACCTTAAATATCTTATTGAATGAAGCCACAGTGCAATTCACTTAGAAAGAGAAGATGAATTCATATCTACAGGAGGCTCTCCCTAGAAAAATTCTACAGGGGTTCTGAAGCGTAGTACCAAAGAGAAGACACAAGACGTGCCTGAGGTTTGTGGGGAGACCATTAAACACAGTCCTGTCAATTCTATAGCTTATGTGGGCATTAACATCATCATAAGTCACTGTTAAAATTATCTAATTTCTAGGAAGGTAACTTATAAACAAACAGTATTCACATTCCTGTCCTAGAGATTCTGATTCAAAGGAGCAATATTTGGTATTGCTAGACTGAATTTATTGAGTATACACAGCTTCTGCCTATCAAAACCTAAAACAAAATTTTAAATTTCTTCTTAAACAGAACTCAGATGTGTATTTGAGATTAACTCTTAATTCACTAACTTAATAGCAAGAACACTTTAAATACTGAAGAAGAGACATGATCTGAGTCTAACCTATGTTAGCAATATCACACTTGCCTATTTGAGTTTTATATGAAGAAAAACAGAGTGTGGGTTTGAAGAAGGTAGAAGATGGAATTTAGAATTTGATTAATTTAAGGATGTTTCTTAAGTTCCAATATTGACAGAAATCAAGATAAGAGAAAACCTTTCTTTTCTACCTGCATTTAAAAAATTAGACCACTTTGTACATTTAAGAATTTCCTAACACTGGACATATTTGATGAAAGCAAAATTAATACATCTAACATACATATAGAATCATTATCCTGCGTTCCCTTTCTCTTTGTTTTGAAACAGAAAATAAAACAAAAATAATGTAATAAATATAAAATGCCTGAGCAAGCAATTATCTCCACTCTGCATTACAAATATATCTTAGAGTTTTTACTCATTTTCAGAGAGGAAAATAGTACCAAAAAAGACTCTAATTTTAACAAAATCAAGGTATAATCAAGACATCTAACAAGTATGTGAAAAAATTTTTTTTCAAAAATTAAAAGGAAAATAAAAAAGCCTAAATCTTTATCAGCTTTTAAATAACTTACCTTGTGAAAAGTCAGGAGATTCTAACTTTAGAGTCCTCTCTGTGCAGTTTCTCCCAAACTCAGCTCTGATGGTGAGTTTTCTCTCTGAGTTTTTATAGTCTCAGTTATACACCCCTTACTCCAATCCCTGCCTCTGCTTTCTCTTACATCATTTCTACAGATTTTCCACTGAATATTTTCCCAAGCTTCTCGTCAATCTCTCTCTCTCATTCTTTTTTTCTCTCTTTCATTCTTTTTTTCTCTCTCTCCCAGTCCCTGTCTCTCTCTTGTCCTCTCTATCTATTGCTTTGGATCATGGCATTTAAGTATCAATGGGAGAATGAGCTGTGGAAAATTTAAGTACACATTTATTATAGTGTTCAGCCTTAGACCTATCACCCCTTCCTGAGGTTTTAGTCCAACTTTGATAATTACAAATCACATTTGGGAAATAGGATGCACTAAGATTTGTTTTAAAAATAAGTCACTAGGGTATTTCAAAGTAAGATTTAGGAAGACAAAATCAGAAACCCAAACTGATTTATTGGTGGATACTTTCGACCTTTAAATTAAATGATCATGTATGGAAACGGTGAATAGTTTCACCCTAAGTCAGGTGCACAAGCTTGTCGGTGAAACTGACAGCTACTTTGCAATTAACGTTGCTATACTGGGAAGGCTGTCACTAAGAAACCTATAAATACTGAACTGCGGCATGTGGACTACAAATGCAGACGTTGTAATCATTTTTATCTTGCTCTTGTTCTCTGGTACTTTAATTTCCTTTTAACCAAAATATTCCTGCCTCTGTCTGAAAGTTTCTTTCATTCCCATTTCCTACTAATCACATTTGCAACATTACAGACATGAATTTTAAAAAATAAGTTATTAAGTCCAAAAGGTCGTTATATTGTCAGGTCATTTTTAGCTCATTTAATTCACCGTTGGATCCCCATTTGATAGATAAGGAAACTGAGGCTAGATAAGTTAGGTAACTTTGTAAGATCACACAGCTAGGAAGTAGCAGCAGAGCCAGATTTCAAATACAGACCTTCCTAATTCCATATCCAGTCTTTTTCCCACGACTTCATTCTGTCTCACTATTTAAAAAGCTGGAAAAGAGAACCCAAGTCAGATTATGTTTTTACATGAATAGAAATACATTTTCTCTTTTTGGTTTTGCTTTAAAAGCCATTTAAAATACTGCTCACTACTGTAGGAACTATTACATGGTTAATTTAGATCTAGATGGAGAACTGACGAGAGCACACTGAATTGGTGGGACAGTAAAATGCTTCATTTTTATGAAGAGTTTCCAGGGATAACATATGTCTCAACAAGCTTGAAATTTGAGTAGTTGGCAGTGACAGTTCACAAGTCAAGATAAAAATACAGCCTAATTGTGGATCCTTGTTTAGACATTACTGCCATAAAATGATTATGTTAGCTTGAATCCACATGATGGAAAACTCTCAATATAGACTTAGTGGACACATTATAATGCTACTAGAAGCCAATCTTCTTGACGTACCTTCTACTCTTATTTGAAACGCAACCCTTAGCATGCTGGCAAGTGATATCTGTGGCTGATTTATTCCAGATCTGTCCCTGCTTAGACAGTCCAAAGATTCCACCCTATTTGTGGATTTTGTTGACCTAATTCAAAGGTTTGACTTAACTGTTCTGTAGCAGTAGAAATAGCAACAGTTTATTCTAGGAATAAAACCATGGTACATTTAAGCCATTTTACAGGCTTCTGCACATTATATACCCCTACGTAAATTACTTATGCATTGACACATGATAGAGAAATTCTGTTACTTTAAAGTAGAGGTAAAAGCATATGAAGAAATAGGAAGAGAAGAGGAACACCCAGTGATAGATGGAGAATCTAAAATGAGAAAGGGAGAAAATATGACTGAAAATTTGTATCATTATTTAATTCTCATAACAATCTTGCTAAGGGGTATTATTATTTACATATAACAGGGTAGAAAACTGAAGCTCAAATACGTGAAGGGGATAGCCCAAGTGCTCACAGCTTAAGAGGAATGAGACCAGGAGTTGAGCCTCACTCTCAGTATCAGGATTCTGGCAGGAAAAAGATGGCACATTCAAATTGAGTACTTTGAGAAGAATTTAATGTGGGCAGGGTATAGAGGAATCAGGAAGGATAATGCAGAACACTGAATCCCCAAGAATAGCCAGGCATTCTTAAGCCTGAAGGGTTAAAGGTGATTACGGGGACCTGGATCTGGGTGGAGAAAGTTCCCTGGCAGAGGTGTGACCTTTCATCAAGGGACACAGCTAGGCAAGAGTGACCTAATTTATGAAATAAACAGAGATCTCACTCTGCTTCCCGGATACAATCTCCTGTTGTGTTTATCTTTGGTCAAACCCAAGTGATAAAGGACCCAGCTCATTGTTTAACCTCAAAACTGTGCTAAGAGACATATAAATGAGATTCTTTGTTATCAAGTCAGGTTTATTGAGGTGTAATTTATATACAAAAAAACACCCTTTTAAAGTGCACAGTTTGATGAGTTTTGACAAATGTGGACAGTATGTAGCCTCCACTGCCATCACGATAAAGACCATGTCTACAATCCTCACTCCCAAATTTCCCTCCTGCCCTTTACAGTCAATCCTCTACCCTACCCTCAGGTCCTGGTAACCACCAATCTGATTTCTGTCCCTATAATTTTGCCTTTTCCAGAAGGCTGTAGGAAATTATACAGTATGTACTCTTTGGTGTCTGGCTTCTTTCACTTAGAGTAATGCTTCTGAGATTTAACCATGTTGCTAAATGTATCAGTACTTGGTTTCTTGTTGATAATAAGAGTGTTCTATTGGATAGATGTGCCACAAATTGCTTATTCACTCAACAGTTGGTGAAAATTTGAATTGTTCCCAGTTTTTAGTGATTGTGAATAAAGCGTCCATAAACATTAATATAGGGGTCTTTGAGTGGATATGTGTTTTCCTGTCACCTGGGCAAATACATAGAAGTGGAATTCCTAGATCACGTGGTAAGTGCATGTTTCACTTAGTAGGAAATAGCCAAACTGATTTCTAAAGTGGCTCTCCCGTTTTGCAGTCCCACCAGAAATGAATGAGATTTCTAGATGTTCAGAATCTTTGTTAGCATTTGACATTCATTGCCATTTCCAAAAATTCAGCAATTCTAATAAATGTGTACTGGTATCTCACTGTGTTTAATTTGTATCTCCCTAATGACTAATGATGCTGAGAATCTTTTCATTACTGCTCCTTTGTATGTCTTCTTTGGTGATGGGTCTGTTCAAATCTTTTGCTCAGTATTCAGTCATGAGAATTCTTTATATACTCTAGATACAAGACTTTTTATTGGATTTGTGTTTTGCATTTTTTCCCATTCTGTAGCTTGTCTTTTTGTTCTCATAGCAGTTTGTTTCACAGAGCAGGCATTTATAATTTTGATGAAGTACAATTAGCCAAAAAACAGAGCATGCTTTATGTGCCCTAGGAAGTCATTTCCTCACTCGGGTTTGCAAAAATTTTTCTTCTGTTTCCTTCTGTAGAGGTTTTCAAAATTCTTTCGGCTATTCTTGGTCCTTTACTTTTCCCTACAAATTATAAGATCAGCTTATCAATGTATACAAAAGAGCTAGCTGGGATGTTATTAGGAAAACTGACATTTTAAAGTACTCTGATATGTGAACACAGTATGTTTCTCTTTTATTTAGGTCTTCCACTTCTCTTTACAATGTTTTTAAATTTCAAAAGCATACCAATTTTGTACACATTTTGTTAATGTATCACTAATTATTTAATTTTTTGATGCTGTTATAAATGTAGTTTTTAAAATTTCAATTTTCAGGTGAACATTCCTAGTTTACAAAAATACAATTCATTATTGTGTCTTGATCTTTCATTCTGTGATCTTGGTAAACTTATTTATTGGTTCTAGTGGTTTTTTTGTAGATTAAACAGGATTTTCTATGTGTATAAAATCCTTTTGTTTGTTTGGGAAGAAAAACTGCTTTGCATCTTCTGTTTCATTCTGTATGTCTCTTATATCTTTATAATTGTCTAGTCTCAGCCAGCTCCTTCAGTGCAATATTGAATAGAAGTGGAGAGTGAATATCCCTGACTTGTTCCTGATTTTGGGGTGAAAAAGTCATTCATTTTTTCACCATTACGCATGTTGATGTAAGGTTTTTTTAGTTGCCCTTTATCAGGTTGAAGAAGTTTCCTCTGTTATTAGTTTTCTGAAAATCAATTATAACCATGTTTTCTGAGATAAACTCCACTCGATCATGATGTATTGTCCTTTTTCTACATCGCTGGATTTGGAGTACTAATATTTTTTATGGATCTTTATTCATGAAGGATATAGGCCTTTCACTTCCTTAAAATATATTTGTCAGCTTTTGGATCAGGGTTGTGGTGGCTCATAGACTGATTGAGAAGAGTCACACCCCCGTCTTAGTCCTTTCAGGCTGCTGTAACAAAAATACCATCGACTGGGAGGCTTAACCAGCATTGTTTTCTCATGCTCTGGAAGCTGGGAAGTGGAGGTCAAAGCATCTGCAGATTTGGTGTCTAACGGGGGCTCCCCGGTTCATAGATGATGAACTTCTCAATGTGTCCTCACATGACAGGGAGTGTGGCAGAGTTCCCTGGGGTCTCTTTTAAAAGGGCAGTGATTCCATCCCTGAGGGTTCCACTTTCATTATCTAATCACCTCTCAAAGCCCCCGCCTCCTGATGCTATCACATTGGGAGTTAGGATATCAACATGTGAATTTGGGGAGACAAACATTCAGCCCACAACAATCCTTATCTATGTTCTGGAGGAGTTTGTATGGAATTTGAGTTATTTTCCCCTGAAATGTTTGGTAGAATTTGAGTGAAGTCATCTGTGGCATTAGTTGCCTTTTGTGGGCAGGTTTTTAACTAAAATGTCAAATTCTTTAATAGACGTAGGGCTAATCATTTTATATAGTTTTCCTGAGTGTAGTCTCACAGTTTACATCTTTCACATCAAAAGTCCATTGCATTAAATTATTAAATTAAAGTTATTCATATTATTGTATTTTTGTTATTTGTACGGTCTGTGGTGATGTCCTCTATTTTATTCTCAATTCTGGTATTCTTTTTCTTCAGTCTTTTTTCTTGATCAGTCATTCTAGAATTTTATCCATTTTATTTATCTTCTTTAAGAGGCATTTTTATCCTTTTATTTCACTGATTTTGGCT